GGGACTCCAGGATCATGACCTGAGCCGAAGGCAGTCGCTTAACCAACTGAGCCACCCAGGCGCCCTCTCCCATGTATTTTAAAGATTTTAATTTTAAGTAAGCTCTACACTCAAACATAGGATCTCAGACTCTGAGATCAAGAGTCGCACACGCTATGGACTGAGCCAGCCAGGTACAGTTCCCGTGTGTTTTATTAGCACCACGCTCTAACCAACTGAGCTAACCGGCCACTTGGTTCCCGTGTGTTTTAATCTGTCTTTCATGTTTTCCTCTCTGTCTTTCTATGCCTTCTGGACAATTTTGTATTTACAGTGATATTTTCCTTCTCCAGAAGCTCATTTAGTTCTTTTTCAGTTCTGTGTGTTCTTTTCTAATATTTTCATTTTCTTTTATTCTTTTCTTGTATCCTTAAACATAGTGAACATACTTATATTTCCTGCTTAGTAATTCTAGTGTCTGAATTCTTTGCAGGTTTGATTCTGTTTGCTACACCCCTCCCTCCCCTCCATGTGAAACTGAGGAACATTCTGTCTTGGAAGGCTGGCTTTGAGGTATCTTCCTCCAGAAAGGATTAGTATTTGCTCTTCCCAGGTGCCTGAGGTCACTACCAACCTGGAAATACTTCAGCTGTGTTCTCAGACTGGAAGGTTTTCAGACCACACAAGTAGTTTTAGCTGCAAGTCCCTATGTGGGACAGCTTATAGTTATAAATTCTCAGGAGATTTCTTTTCTCTACCCTGCACCCAGGCTTAAGGCTGACAATTTTCTTTGCTATCCTTAGCTTGGGGGTGGGACTTATTCCTAATCTACCCTTGAACAGATCCCTTTGGGAATTCAAGCTTCATGCATCAAATCTTCCGTTAGATTTCCCATCTTGAGTTAGTCCTAGGTTTTTCCTCCTTTTGCCTTCTTCACAAGACATTTAAAAAAACTCAAGCTGAAGAGTCTCCCTGGTTTGTTCAAAAGCCCCAGAGTATGAAAATCAGGTTGTGTGCTGTTTACCATTCTGGGTTCTGACTTGAACTTGGCCTCTGACAATTCTCTGCTTTCTTGCTCATGCTGTAATGTATTTTAAATAGTGTTACTACATTTTACCTAATATTTTAATTCTGTTTCCCTAATAGCTTAAAGTGTCTAATCCTTTATACTATAGGAAATAGCAGTCCTATAAAAAGCCATTACAAGTTCAGCTTCGCTTTTGGCTTTTTGGTTGTTTATTTTTTCTTCTTTAGCCTTTTGAGTTTTATAGGAACAAGTTTAAACAGTCTTTACTTAGCATAGACTGTTCGGAGTGATTTCTGGTGTTTCTGTTGACATAACCAACAAATATTCATTGAGTACCTATTCACACCAGGCATTATTCTAGGAATGGGGGTGCAGAAGTAAACAAAATGGGCCAAAATCCCTGCCTTCCCACCAAGGAGCTTAAATTCTAGTGGGGAAGATACTGGATATGTAGTACATTAGATGGTGATAATGCTAAGGAGAAATGAAGCAGAAAAGGGACTTTGCATCTTCGGAGAGAAGAACTCAGGAATACCTTACTGAGAGGGTAACATTTTTAAGAGAGAGCAGGGGTGAGCCATGAGCACTCCAGACAGAGAAGACCTACATGTCTTGTAACTGTCTAAGAGAATACAGAATGAAAATCCTCTGTGGTTTCATATTTGTTCCATGTCACATATATTGCTATTTATTCTTTTTTCCCAATTTTCTCTTAACCCAAATTTCTCTAAAGCCAACTCTATAATTTTGATTCTCCAGCTAGGAGAACTGACCCTCCCTCCCCTTTTTAAAGATTTCACTTACTTTATTTATTTTTGAGGGAAGGGGGAGGAGCAGAGGGAGAAGGACAAGCAGACTCTGTGCCAAGCACAGAGCCCGACACAGGGCTCGATCCCATGACCCTGAGATCATGACCTGAGCAGAAATTGGACACTCATCCGAGTGAGCCCCCCAGGCCCCCCAGAGAGCTGACCCTTCTTGAACAAGCTATTTAACCTCTCTTGAGTCAGTTTTCCTTTGTGTCAAATAAGACCACTGCCTGTCTCTCAGGATTGGTGGTGAAATGAGGTAACATTTGTAAAAGTGCCTGACATTTCATGAGGACTCAAGAAATGCTAGATCTTTCTCTTTTGTTCTTCCTTCCCTGTCCGCACTCCCTTCGGCGCTTGTTTTTGGTACTTGTCAATACATTTGCAACAAGATCCTCATGTAACACCAGGGAGAAACCATGTGGTAGGTTATTCACTGAAGACAAATGAGGAACATTAGAAAATTTCATTTAAAAAAAAGAAACTTTCCAGAGTGGTTTTGAAAGGCTGAATTTGGTGCTCAGGGTTCAGGAGAGAGTCAAGCCCTGTGCATTTCCCCCTGGAAGTTCTTGTTCATTGTATTATGAATCAGCAGCTCCAGGAATCTCAATTTGTATATTTAACAGTCTGCAGAATCTCCAGTTATAGTCAGGCTCAAGCAGGGGCATATCACATTCCTAGGCAAATACATACATATTCACCTATCTTCTCTTATCCCTTAACCTAACCTAGCTCTGATTTTGCAGTGTAATTTGGTGAATTTTCTTGAGATTGTTGGCCTGCCACTAAGAATGGGTAAGGGTAAGGGTGAAAGTTTTGGTTTGGATGAAGCTGAAATCTCAGTTTAGAAATAGAAGTAGAGCTGATAGATCACTACTTTTCTTTAGTGAGATTTTTCTTCAATTTGAGAGTCATGAGACCCCCTTCTTTGTGGTACTGAGTCACCGTGGGCTCTCAGTCCATCATTTTCCCCTGTCTATCATGAGTGATATTGCCATCATTTCCTTGCCTTATATGGCCGTTGCGATTTCATAGGCTCTGAGCACCATCAAGGTAAGAAAAGCACTAAAGATAAACAGAGCACAACTATTTATATTGTATGCTTTTGGGTTTTGGTCTGTCCCCAGCCCTACCATTGACCGTGCCCTGCTGGACGTGCCCTTCCTTCGACTCCCTGAGGAGATGCCATCTGACCTCCGAGAGCAGCTGGACCACACATTCTGAAGATACCAGTAGTCCTAGTTTTGATCCCTCATACACAGACCTGCAGCTCATCAGTGCTGAGGAGCAGAGGAGTGGCAAGGCTTCTCAGGCTGACTCAACTGGTAAGATGGAGCCCAGAAGGCTTTGCATATCACTTTTGGTGACCCTTTGCTGCTCCTAAAATCTCTGCAGCCAGCTTTGTTTGCAGAATGAGTTCAGTGTAGCAGTCACCCAGTCAAAAAGCTAGAATACAGAGTGGTTCAAAATTGCATTAGGAAAAAACACGTACACAGATTGGCAGATTGGTTGGCAGAGTGTTAATCCTGGGAAACCATTTGACATTATATCTTAATATGCTGTTTTCTCATATTCAGTACAAGTACTGTTCCTTGTCAGTTTATTTTCTCCTTGCATGACCAAACTATATGTAATATGCACAAGGCTGAATCTTTCATCCACTCACCTGTGCACCTTCCCTTTTCAGCAAGAGGGAGGTAGATTTAAGCAGAGAAAAAGCAAATGTTATGTGAAGCAGAATGAGAGTCAGGACTCAGCCACTGTGTCCAGACTACAAATCATTTTGCAGTTATATTTATTGTTGTGCTTGACTCGAGCTATACTTCAGTCTGTAACATCCTGTGGTCTCATTTATTAAATTTCTAGGTGTAAGAAGGATGCTGCTGACTTTGCAGGTGGAATAAGGGCCTGTTAACAAGCACTGTACTTGGGTTAGATTTAGGATGGCATTGAATAGATGTAGTGTGTTCTTGGTGTTTTTTTTATTTGGCCCAAGGGATTATTTTCCTTTGAAAGTGATAGAATTACCGATAATTTCTCTGTGGATGAATTTGCCAGGTGTGTCCAACAATATTTGTTTTTCTTCCTCAAAAACATTGTTTAGGCATTTGTCTCTGGATCGCTTTTCAAACTTGGGTAACATTTGCCCTTATGCTGTGTGTTATTGGAGGGGTCTACACATAGAGTTCTTGCAGACTAAAGGGTTCAGACAGGATTTGGATTGGTATTTGATAATACTGCAAGGAATCCTAGTTTATCACAGTCTGTCTTCACAAGCCACAGTCCCTTAGAGCATTTTGTTTTTACACACTCTTCATTCTGGTTAATCTCTGTGGCTGATGATCATGGTCAGTGGCTGAAATGTGTCCCTACAACTCCGTCTCCACTGTGGGGAGCCTTTCATGGTGGGAAGGCACCATCAGAAGCCGAGGCAGTTAGGAAGAGGCTGTACTCTGCCCTCTTCCTTCGCGTCTCCTGGCTCTCAACTGCCTTTCCCAGCCTTCCCCTGGGGGATGCATATAACACACTGGTTAGGAGCACGCAGATTCGGGTTAGACTGCTCAGATCCTCCTTCCATTTACCAGCTGTGTGATCTTAGGCAAGATCATTAGTATCTTTATGACTCTGTTTCCTTACCTGAAAATTGGAGATAGTAGTCGTACTTACGAAGTTGTTGTCCATTCCAAGTGAGACGGTCTATGTAGGACAACTTACATGATGCCGGACACAGAAGTGATCAGCACGGATGGAGTTTCTCCCCTCTCCTGCCCCGGGGTTCTTATCGCTTCAGAGAGGGGGAGGTGGGCTTCCCACTGTGGAAAAGTCAGGCTCTCTAGGCTCAGGCTGTTTTTTTTCCAGTGATCTCTCTACTTAGATGCAAATCCCTTCAATTCCTAGAGGTTCCAGGGATGAAAATCAGAGTCCTACTCTGAGTTGGGCATGATTAATCTGTCTCCAAAGCTTATAATTATTTTCAGTGTCTCCCTTTTCTGAAGCCATGTTAACAGTATTACAGTTCCCACTGAGAGAACGTCTTCCCTCATTGTTTTGGTCAGGGTCCTGGCAGTAGGCAGATGGCATCCTCGAAAAGTTTATCTGAAGAGGGTGTCATGAAGGGACTGCTTCCAGAGGTGGCATGAGCTAGAATCATGGAAGAGGGACTTCCTGACAGGTGCTGTGGCTGTAAGAAGGACAGAGCCACCTCCAGAGATTTGGCGCAGTGGGGAGTGAGGGGGGACTAAATGCCCAGATCTTGTGCTAGGGCTTCCTCCTAGCAGATCCCAGCTGGAAGTCAGAGGTCGTTCCACAGGCCGTAGAGCTGCTGGAGAAGGGGGAGGAGAATGGATTTGGGGTGAGGGTGTGGGTGAAGCAAATGCAGAATAGCCAACACACTTTAGCTCAATGGCCAGTGACTCTGGGTGACTCTGGAGAAGCAACGGCAAAACTAGGACTGTAGAATGAGGAGTGATGAGCTTAGTTCTCTCCTTCAGCAGGAGACAGTTTCTGTAGCTACAGGAGGCTAGAGGGGGCCTTTTGGCAACCGTCCCTTTTTACAGAAGTAATAATAAATCATAGCCAGCACTTCCTGAGTCTGTGCTATGTGCTAGTATATGATGTGTGTCATCCCCAGCCTTGACAACAATCCTGCAAGGCAGATATCTTTCTCCCCATTTCCTACTTGATCCCGAGTCTGGAAGGTGAAGATGCTTGTCTGAGATAATACCACTAAGAAATGGATGAACCTGGATTTCAGCCAATGGTCCAAAGCCTTTTACCGTGATTCCCAAACCTGGAAGTGACCCAGAGTCATCGTGTTTATCATTTTGCTGTCTTACCTTCCAGACCTTATGTACAGATACACGTACTTTGCCATGGGATTTATCTTTTTAAAAAAATTTTTAAAAGATTTATTTATTTGAGAGTGAGCATGTGCACACACAACTGGGGGAAGGGGCAGAGGTAGAGAATCTTCAAGCAGACTCCCTGCTGAGCGTGGAGCCCCATGTGGGGGTCGATCTCACAACCCATGAGATCATGACCTGAGCCAAAACCAAGAGGCAGACGCTTAACTGACTGAGCCACCCAGGCGCCCCAACTGTGGAGTTTATTTTTGACATAAATAGAATCAAAAGGTTTTTTAAATAAGATGTATAGTAGGTGGAGTCTGAGGAGGAAGTTCATGTTTCCTTAACAGATATGAGCACTTCTAGATAACTGCTGGGTTTGTGTTATGGAAACAAGTTTCTAGACACTCCACTTTGAAAAGAAATCTCCTCATTCGTTAGTAATTGGCCAAGGGCCCAGGTTGGCCCAGGGGCATGCCTCCATCTCCTTCCCACCTCACCTGCACCCAATCTTCCAGGCCCAGAAGTAGCAAGCAGCAAGCCTTGGGGGCCTGGAAAAATGAGAGGCAGTGAGGTGAGTGGCCCAGGCTGTGTGGACAGTGTCTGGATGCAGCCCCAGATAGAGAAGCCCCAGGAGCCTCTTTCTGAACACCCTGACCTGTGTAGTCAAGGGGGACTTCGGCTTTGAAAAGCCTTTAACTCATCCTGGGTAAGGAAGAACAAGGTTTAGGAGAATGACACGATATTTCTAAATCTGTGGCATTTATCTGCTACTTCAGTAGTGGGGAAATTATAAATGCTTTCATTCGAGCGCTTGAGAGCTTCAAAGAAATCCAGACACACTGGAAAGCCCCCCAGTCAGGTGGCTACCTGTCCGCCACCTGGCACCAGGCCTGCGCCAGTGGTCAACCTCTTGGAAGGCTCTACTGGGAGGCTGGGTGGTTCAGTCAGGGTACACTAAATCCTTGTGAGGGTAAGGAGCAGATTCTGGTCTGTCTCTGTCTCTGGGCACATCCTCTCCCCGGAGCTGCCGTTCCTCATCCGTGAAGTGGGGCCGAGTGTCTCTGCCCAGGCTGGGCAACAGAGTGTGTGTGGAGGTGCTTCATGCAGCGCAGAGTGCAGCAGGAATTTTTTAAAAATCCTAATTTCACAGCTCTGGGCCTCATTTCCCTTTGCCATGGGAAAGAAGGATAATTACTGCCCCAGAGGACGGTAAACCATACACATGGTGGGATGAGACCTGAGGAGAGTTTTGCAGTCTTCAGAAGTGAGCCGTGAGGTCATGCAGAGAGGTGCTGTGGGAAGTTCATTGTGGTTGCTTTCTGGACCAAGGGCTTGAGGGTCCTGGGGAGCAGCTGCCTTGGGGAGACTTTTGGTCTTTGCCCCCTGCCCCATACCTTTTAGCACTGCAGAGGGAGGTATAGAGGGGGGAGAATCGCAGCCTCCATCAGGAGCGCCCTCGGCCCCAGCTGGCCCGGGCTTTCCCTGGCAGCTCGCTCTGCGAGCCTGCAGCTGGGGCAGAAGCTCTGTGATTCATCTTCTGTGTGCAGAGGGTTACGGGGGCCCAGGCCCAGCCTGTTTTCCTCGGCCCCATTGCTCTGTGCTGGGCCGCAGCAAGCTGCAGACTCCTCCCCGTCATCTGCCGCAGGACTTCTGCACGGCGTTGGCAATCCCGATCCCCAGCCTACTTGTGGGAGGGCATGACTCTGTGATCAACCTGCACTTTCTTCTCATTTTCTCACCAAGGGGGTAATGTGGAGGAGGAAGGCAAACAAATCCCCTCACCTTGGTTACATCACAGGGTACGGGGCAGAGCTGGAGAGCATGTTGATATCTCCTCCGGGATTCAGCTCTCTAGAGCAAAAGGCAGGAGAACTGGGAACAGGCAGGATCCTTAATAACACTTGTTTTCTCTCTCACCCCCTGCCTCCCCGGGGGCCCCCTTTCCCTGGATGACAGATACACCCTATCATCTTCACCAGACAGCCTCCCTCTGTAACGCCGAATAGTTTTCCATGGGATGATAAACAGGAAGAGTGTCGGGGGGAATAAAAATAAGCCTTTGGAAGTCCGTGGCAAGCAGGAAAGAGAAAACACAGAAATGTCTGCAGGAGCACATGCTGTTGTTAAGTGGTGGACTTCCATTTTGGTTTTCTTTTACATACAAGATAAGTGGAGAGTTCAAGTGTGGGATTAGAATGCTCCGTTTGCATCAAGCCTGGATGAAGCACACATAGCAGGTGTTTAATAATTGTCCGTTGAATGGATCCTTGAATGAAAGGAGTGAGACTGCAGGTGGGGAGAGTCATCTGCATCCCAGACATCTGTGTCCCATTTGGGTTTAAGAGTCCAGCATTCCCCCCCAAGTGTATCCCATGTGGCCGTTCAAGAAAAACCAAGATGCCAAGGGCCAGTATGTTAAGTCATGCTGGGCCCCCTCTGTTGGAGATTCATAGCGAGTGTTAGATTATTAAAGACTT